CACATAGACAAAACCTATCAAAAAAAAAAAAAAAAAAAAATCACACAGCCCAGAGTGTCTGGGTCAGGACTAGAACCCAGCACCTCCTAGCTTCAGTGCCTGAACTTTCTGGGCACTCATCTTGCCACTCAGCCTCCCTTCATGCCTCCCTGTAAGGCTGGCCTATGGCCCCTTCCCAGCTGCCACCACCTTCTCGGTTCTCCTCCTCACCACTGACCCTCCTCTCTCCTCGGGGCTGCTGGCCCTGGCACGCTCACCCGGGCCTTTGGCCTTTCCTCTGGTAGGGCCTGCTCCCAACCACCAGGGCCCTCTCATCACAGTTGCCTGAGCCCGGCTCTCTGTTCTCTGGTTCCAGCACCTTCAAACACCTATGGAAGCAGGTGGCCCAGAACCTGGACCGGTTCCGCACCTTCCCACGTCTGGCCGGAGGTAAGGGCCCTTCTCTCCCCTCCACCCTTGTGATCCAGAGACCCTCCCCTGGCCATCGGGAAAGAGGAGGAGGTGGGCTTGGAAGTGCAGGTCAGGTGAGATGCTCTGAGGCTCCAGCCCTGTTGGTGACAGTGACAGTGCCTGCGCTCACTAATACGGGACCGTTGAGTACTTGAAGCATGTCTTGTATGATGCAGGGACTGGACTTGTTTGATTTCATCTTAAGTTCAATTTCGGTGGCTACATGGGCTCAGCAGCCGCTGTGTGGGATGGCATGGGTCTGAACAGGAAAGTTCGAGTGCTGAGACCCTGAAGTGGGAATGAACTTGAAGAAATTAAACAAAAACCAGGCCAGTGGGAGGAGATGGGACTGAGAGGTTAGGGCCAGAGCTTGCTGACATGCTCACTTTGCCCACAAAGATCTCGTTTCACGGCCAGAGAAACGTGGCATGTGCTGTTTTAAGGCAGAGGGAGCCCTCTCCGGTGTGGCTTCCCAGAGCCTTGAATGTCATAATGCACGCTGCACATTTTCAAGGGCAGGGCCCGCCAGGCGGTTTCCCAATGCAGTGGGCCACAGACCCCTATTCTGCAGAGGCCCTGTAGACCAAGTGTTTTGGGAACACACTTCAGGAATGTGCACAGACTGGAGAAGGGGAGGGCCGTGTGGGGTCACGCATCGCCTTAACAGCAGAGCTGGGGCTGGAGCTCCTGGCCCTGGGGTGGGGCCAGAGCCCTTTCTTGGGCTGGCGTCAGGGAAGGTGAGCCCTTCTTGAGGTCATCTGTAGCTTCTCTGGCTTCCAGCCCCAGGGTACCCATCTGACCTCTATGAGACCGGGTTGGGAGCCCTTCGGTGGAGTTGTGGCTGTGAACTCTCAGAGGAGGAGTGAGTCTTGCTCGCCACTTTCCTCCCCGGAGCACGCAGCTTCACCTCTTTGCCTCAGCTTCCTTGCCTTTAGAAGAGGGTATTGGTGTTAGTAGGTGGCGTGGTGGTTTAGGCATTGGCTCCCACTGGCCAAGCGCAGTTTAAGTCCTGGACCCAGTGGCTTGAAACTCATACTGGTGTGTGTGCTTGCGTGCGTGCTCAAAACCCCAAGAGGAGAACAGATTGCCATGTGGCCGTCCCCACAGGGAGTGATTTCTCACTTTCTCTCTCCCTGTCTCTCTGTCTGGTGAGTGCATCCGATCTATGGCAAAAACCTAAAAAACAGAAAAAGGGATATTAATGGGAGGGTGTCATGAGGCTCCCATGAGCCAAAGGGCAGAGCGAGTTACAGAGCTCAGTGGGTCCTGCTAGCTTTGTTAGCTGATAGTTCGCAGAGTGGGGAAACTGAGGCTGGGAGTGCAGAGCTTGCCATGCTCAGAAAGCTGGGGTGCAGTTTCCCTCTGCAGTGTGTGTGGGCCCCACTCTGGCAGTTGACATGGAGTGCACTCCTCTCTCCCATGCTGGGCGGGGGGCTCAGAGGAGGCCTCAGAGAAAGCCATGCTCACTTCTGGGAACGGACCACTCTGGGGAGCCTGCGATTCTGGTCCTTCCTCTGCCTTTCCGTTGGGTAGTCTCCGCGTTCTCACCTGTGTAATGGGGGGGGCATTGGCCCTATGACCCCTGGCTCCCTCTAGCCTTCCCTGGTCAGTCTCCTCATCTGCAGAGTGGGAGAACAGCCCTGGCTCATCACGTCTGGGATGTGGTCCAGCTCTGCTCTGCCTGCGTCTTGGCAGCGGGCAGGGCTGATCACAGGGCCCAGGGAAGGGTGGGTGGTGCTTCGCGCTCCTGAGTGGCAGGGAGGAGGTACTCCCCAGTAACTCGCCCGTCCCCTGTAGAGTGTGGCGGGAAGAACTTCCACTTTGTGCACCGGTCAGCCGACGTGGACAGCGTGGTGAGCGGGACTCTGCGCTCGGCCTTCGAGTATGGCGGCCAGAAGTGCTCAGCCTGTTCGCGCCTCTACGTGCCACGCTCCCTGTGGCCGCAGATCAAAGGGCGGCTGCTGGAGGAGCATGGCAGGGTCAAAGTGGGCGATGTGAGTCTGCCGGCTGCCCCTGCTCGGCCCCTGCCCAGTCCCTGCCCAGTCCCTGCCCGGATCTTGACCAGACCCTGCCCAGTCCTGCCACTGCTCAGCCCCTGCCTGGACCCTGCCCACCCCCTGCCGTGGCCCAGCAGGGGCTGATGGGATTGGGCAATGGCTTTTCTCCCAGAGCTGTCCCCAGGAGGTCCCTGGGCAGGTGGGGCTGGTGTACGCGGAGGGGGCTCCCTTCATCTCAGGCCTGTGACAGTGTATCCTTTCTGCATCCCCTTCGTCCCCAGCCTGCAGAGGACTTTGGGACCTTCTTCTCTGCAGTGATTGATGCCAAGGTATGGAGCAGGAAGCAGGTTTCCTGGAGGGCCGAGCCCTCGGCTGGGCGGGAAGGGGAGGAGGAGGTCACCAGGGCCCTGACCCAGGAGCTGACCCAGACTGCGGGCTTCTGGCAGGGCAGCTTGGTGGTCACGTCCCTTGCCCAGGTTTACAAAGGGCAGGCTCACCCTTACCTGGAGAACTCCTCTCCCACACTCCTGGGACCAGGCCCCTGGAGAAGAATGTGTGAGCTCACACACTCACATGCACACTCAGCAGGCCCATGCGTCTGTGTGTGTACACCCGAGTGTGCATGTACGTGCATGCCCGTGAACACGTGCTGGACATGTAGATCTACCCTGGGTAGTTCTCTGTGCAGCTGTGTGTGTAGGTGCTCCCCTGTAAACACACATGTCCACATGCACACAGGTTCACCTGCATCTACATAAGCAAATCCACTGCACATACATAGGCATACGGATACCTCGTCGTGTAAACGTAGGGTGTGTCCGTGTAGATGCATGCATGCCTGTCGATCTCTGTGTGTACTTGTATGTCAGCACACCCACAGTTCACATGTCCCTGTGCACACATGCATGTACGTCTGCCCTGTTCTCTGCGATGGCTCAGACTCTGGCTTTTGCCTCACTGTCCCTGTACTGCCAGCCCGTTTAGGTCTCGGCCCTCGGGCACAGGTGTTTTGGGGTGGGTGTGTCAGGGAGCCGCCGGGCATGCCCTCTCAGCCTGTCCTTATGCACCTCCTCTCTGCCACCCCAGTCCTTCAGCCGGATCAGGAAGTGGCTGGAGCACGCCCACTCCTCGCCCAGCCTCACCGTCCTGGCGGGGGGCAAATGCGACGATGCCGTGGGCTACTTCGTGGAGCCCTGCATCATCGAGAGCAAGGACCCTCAGGAGCCCATCATGAAGGAGGTGACTGGCTTGGGGTCGGGAGTGGCCCGGGGCCCAGAATGGGACAGTGTCACCCCTGCACGGCACACGCACAGGGCACATGGCGTGGTGTTTTCTCCTTGAGGCGTTATTCCATTTCACAGATGTGGCAGGTGAGGCCCTTGAGAGAGCAGAGGCGGGCTCGCGCTCAGTCAGGCCTCCCGGCTCAGAGCCCAGGCCTGGGTTGACACGGCCAACTCTGGATTTCCTAGTTGTTCCATGCCCACAAGTCAGGGCCACGGCAGCCTCGTCACAGCTACCTGGTCATGGCAGGGCACTTGGCTACAGTGGCGTGGGAAAAGGAGGCTCCGAGGGCAAGGCTTGTGCTTGGGGTGGCAGGGAGGGGTGGGGTCTTTCCCCAGTCACTTGGTGACAGAGGGGCCATTAGGAAGGGGTGGTATCAGTGGGCAGGTCCTGTGCCCGGATGCTTTGTTCTCTGGGCCAGAAAGGCTTTACATCTTTAGCCAGGTCGGAGTGTGGGGGCCAGGCAGAGCAAGGACCTGGACACGTTGATGTCCCTGGAGGGGTCCCAGGAGAAGGCAGTGCCTGGCCTTCCTTAGAGGGACTGGGGAAAGGGAGGCCAGAACAGGGAGACGGGCAGTTCGGGGCATTGGCCCCATCAGAGGGTGTGACCAGAGGCCTCTCTCCAGGAGATCTTCGGGCCTGTGCTGACTGTGTATGTCTATCCAGACGACGAGTACAAGGAGACACTGCAGCTGGTCGACAGCACCACCAGCTATGGCCTCACGGGGGCAGTGTTCGCCCAGGATAAGTGAGTGGCCACTCACAGCCCTGAGAGCTCCATTCCTGGTGTCCCGTCTCTGCTGGCCCCATCCCCACCTCTGCATCTGGTTCCTAGTAATAATGTCACCTGTGCTCTGCCCTCTCCCCACAGCCCCAGCAGCAGGCCAGCCCCTCAGCACAGACACACACAGGCAGCCAGGCCCTTAGCTGCAAATACAGATGCCGGGGTCCCGCTAGTGACCACTGAACCTGAATCTCTAGGGGCAGGGCTTGTGATGGGCTGCTCTGGATCTGATGGGGCTCCCCTAAGCGAGATGATGCCCCACACTGCAGAGCAAACACGAGACTCAGAGGTGGCGGCCCACTGGTGTACTGGCAGAGGCAGGATTTGAACCTGGGTCCTGTGGTGCTAACCCTGAGGCTTTGCTTTCTCCTTCCTCCATGGCACTAGTTGCCACCCCGTGTCTGCCTCTGAAAGGATGGAGGTGGGGTTGGGACCTGAGGGGTCCTGGGAGCTTCCCCTACTGAGGAACAGGGACACGGGGCTGAAGGTGCAGTCTTCAGTGTGGCCTGACCCTCGGTCATCCCCTCAGGCCCTGATGCAGCACTGAGGGAGGTGTGCGAAGCCCTTTCTGGAGAGGAGGGTGGGAGTCAGGGACTAAGCAGCCTGTCCAAGGGCCACAGCTAGCAGCCAGCCAGCGTTACTGGTCCCAGGCCCAGCCTGTGTGTCACTTGGAAAGCCAGTGTGGGGGACAAGGATGCTGGAGGCTAGACCCAGGCTGGACGGGGAGGTGAGCCAGCTGCCTCCTCATCACCGCCCTGCCCAGCAGGGATGTCATCCGGGAAGCCACGAAGATGCTGAGGAACGCCGCTGGCAACTTCTACATCAACGACAAGTCCACTGGCTCGGTGGTGGGCCAGCAGCCCTTCGGGGGGGCCCGAGCTTCTGGTGAGTGGATCCCCTCTCCCTGGGGGAGACTCTGGAGCCTTCCCCAGGCCGCTGGCCATAGGGATGCACTGTGTACTGAGCACGTGGAGCGGGCTGGCGAACCTGCTCACTCAGAGTCCTTCCAACACCCTGCGTGTGACCGAGGAGGAAACTGAGGCACGGGGGGCAGGGATCTGCTCAGGCCATGTGACGGAGGTGGTGGGTCGCGATTATTGGCTCCAGCACCTGCACTCGCCACCGTGCTCATGAGGACTTAGCCCAACACCTCCCACTTTACCAGTGGAGAAAGGAGGCCAAGGAGGGTCAGCAGCTTGCCCAAGGTCACTGCTCGCTATGGCAGAGTCCGGGCTGAGCCCGCGGTGGGGAGCCCCACCCCAACCGTGTCTGTTTTTGGTGGATGCCGACTGAATGCTTGTAGCTGCCCCCACTTCAGCTGCCAGTGGCAAGTAGTGGGTCCCCAGGTCACCCCACTCCCCCATAGCTTCTCTCCCATGCAGCTGCAGACCTGGAGTTCCCAGGCCCCCCGAGGGTCAGTAATTGGCCAGAACGGCTTATGGAAGTGCAGCAGGGCTGATGGTGCTGCTTCATTACCAGCTGTCTCAGAGGGGACAGGTGAGCAGCCAGAGCAAGTGACGCACATGACAGTCTGGCGGGCTCCCTGGTGCAGGAGCTTCTGTCCCCTGGAGTCTGGGGTGTGCTGCCCTCCTGGCTCACGATGCATTCAACCCTGAAGCTCTTCAGACCCTGTCCTTTGGGGTTGGTGTGGGGCCTGTGTTAGAGAGGTGACTGACTAGGTTGCTGGACGTTGGTGGGCCACTCAGTCCCAGGCCCCTCTCCCTCCTGTGGGGCTGAAAGTGCCAACCCTCTCTAATCACTGGACTGGTTCCCCTGGCAACCAGCTCCCTGGCTGCAGAGTCGCCTCATTAGCATAAACTCAGGTATGGACGGAGGGACTCGTTCTGCCCAAGGAGAGATGCTGACTGACCCCAGCCTCAGGAAATCCAGGGGCTTTAGGAGCTCTGGCTGAGAACCAGGGATGAAGACCAGAGATAGACGAGGGGGCTTCAAAAAGTCTGTGGGAAAATGGAGTTGAAGTACGAGTTTATTTTAGTGGGAAACATTTTTTAAAGACCCTCCAATTTCTCACCGTATCGTATTACCACAGTGGCTCTCTGACCCCCCCATCCAGTGCTTTCTCTGCAGCGCTCCCTGGCCCCCAGACACCCTCCCGTGGGGCGCGCCAGCTGTCCTACCCCCTTCACCCGGTAGATGGGGGTCATGGTCTCCTGTCTGTCCCTCTGCCTTTTTCTGTGAGCCCCAAGCTGGGCAGCTCAGAGGGGCAGGCCCTCTGCCTGGCACCCACTCCTGCTTCAGCCCAGGACCCTCGTGTCTGTTCAGAGAAGAGGTACACAGGAACCCCTGGCTTCTTTCCACAGGAACCAACGACAAGCCAGGGGGCCCCCACTACATCCTGCGCTGGACATCACCCCAGGTCATCAAGGAGACCCACGCACCCCTGGGGGACTGGCGCTACTCCTACATGCAGTGAGCCTGCGTGGCGCCGTCCTCCTGTCGTCCAGGTGGCTGACCTTGTGGCACCGGCCCACCACAGCCCCCACCTGCCCCCATGGATGGCTCCCTTCAGAGCCATAGCCATAGGCCTGTGTGGTGGCCTCGCCTACCGACGTGCCAGGGCCCGAGCTTTGGGCCTGTCCCTTGCCCACCGGCATCCTGGGAATTCCAGCTGGAGAGCCTGACCGGCCCCTGGCGGTGTTGGCGTCTGTCTGTTTCCTTCTCAACACGGGCCTGGGCCTCAGGGCCCTGGAGAATGGGCTGGAGAAGCTCTTGGGGTCCTGGGGGAAGGAGGCAGCTCTGCGTCCCTCGCCAGCGTCAGCACTCACACATGCTCCTGGCCCAGAATCCTGTAGGTGTCCAGGGTGACGTGTGACCCTGGGTGGCCCGGGGGCCTGGCGAGTCGTGGTCTCAGCTGCCCTCGTCCCCTTGGTCTGGGCTGCCCACCTTCCTCACCACGTCTTTTTCCAGGCCCGCCTGAGCTGCCGGTACCTGTGCTAACCAGAGGCCTTAGACGCCGCGTGCCTTTCCCCAGGTGCCTGCTTACTGAGGCCCACCTGAGCCTGGGACTGGGCTGCGGGTCCGCTTTCCTGGAGCTCTTCTAGAGACATGCCCAGAGCCTATTTCGGGCCTGGGATCTCCCTGCAGGGTCGCCGTGCCCCCGGGGCGTGTAAAACAGGCCCAGGCCCCTGAGACCTTGCCTTGGCTTCAAGGGCCAGGATGTTGCCCTGGGCTCTCCCCTCCTTCACGTGTGAGTGGCCCTGTGAGGCCTGGCTCCTCAGTGGCCCGGCCTTATTGGTCACAGCCAATCGCTGACCTCGACTCTTCTTCCTTGGATCCTGGGTGGTCGGGGACCTGTGAGGAAGGACGTCTGCGGATGGCTTTTAGGGGACTGTGAAAGTGCTGGGCTTTCCTCAAGGACAGCTGAACGGGTCCCCCTGGGAGTTGATGTGGCTGTTTCCTAAGTGTCCCCATTTAACACCACGACCCAGGTCAGCAGTGGCACCAGTGTCACCTGGGCCATATGTGGGTCCACTTTCTTCCAGGCTCTGAGTCATGGCCCATGAGCGGCTGAGGCACGCGGGCTGGAGATAATACTGGTTCTACCCTGTGATGTGATGGGATCTGCCCTGAGACCACCCAGTAAAATGCCTGCTACTCCATCGAATCGGTGGCCTTTCTGGCGGTGGCGGTGGTGGTGGTGGGGGGGGCAGCTGGCTGTTCCTTCTGTGTCTGATGGCATTGCCGATGTGTCAGGTGACAGGTTGTGGCGTCCTCAGTATGACGGGAGGAAGGTGGGCCCGGATGTTTGGAGGTGCCTTCTGGAGGCGACAGGAACTCTGGAGTTAGACGGGCTGTGTTCAGATCCCGACTCGTTTCTCAACCGGGTGGTCTCCAGGATTTCCACGAGCGCTCCGACCCTCTGTCTCTTCATCTGTAACATGAGATGATCCCTCCACCTCAACACACACAGGTTATAATGAGAACTAAAGGAGTTGAGTCATGTAAGTGCTTAGAAAAGACACATGGTGATTCAAAACTGTTACCCATGCTCGTAACGGCCACCATCTTGTGGTTAATTTTTTTAAGAGGTTTTTTTTTTTTTTTGGGGAAGGTTTTTAGCTTTAGGGTGGGTGCACG